GTATCAGCCCAAGGAGCTGGCATCGCTGCGGAGAACTCTGGACTTGGGCCCGGGGTTTCCTTCACGTGCGATTACGAACCGGGAAGGGGGTTCTAAAGCGTAGCCCCGAGTTGACGATCTCGGGCGCCGGTCACAAGTGACGTGACACACGTAGCCCACAACACAGAACGGCTCAATTATTTGGGCGATGCCGCCGCCGCTGGAGTGGACAGCGGGGCACGAGCACAATAAACGAGGACACTCGGCGCACTCGTCAGCACGACCGTGGGCCATAAAATAAAAATGTATAACCGCCAATGTTTTTCTTTCAAGGCCACGGTGGGTTCTTTTTTTTGCCGTTGTTTTTTTGTTGTTGGCGAACGCATCCCTTTTTGACCGGCACAGAATGCGCCCACCGGCACGCGGGTAAGCCGTGCGGGTGGGAACATCGGCCAGTGGTGGCTGGGAGAGGCGTCTTGCCATGGCCTACACGCCCGTATCGTTGTCCGTCACATCTAAAAGCGACGAGAAAACCCCATTCATCACAGAACAACAGCGCAGGCCCACAAAACGCAAGCTCTGCGTAAAGCGCATCGTAAAACGTATCTGTTTAAAGTGGCTTTCTCTTTCTTTAGATATTTTCAAACGTCTTTCTCGTTTCTTCTTTCCTTGGTTGATGTTAAACTATTTTCCACCTTTCCGTGCATAACGCCCTGAGAACAATCGTTTAGGGCGTCTTATACACTTTAATAATTCTTATCATTGGGCCCATGTTGAGTAAGTGGGCGCTCGACGATTAGAATTCCCAGCAGTGAGCAGTGGTGACTATACTGAGCTGATGAGCTCCAATGAGGACGAAACCGATCCACCACAGTTGTCTGTCTCCGCATCAATGCTGCTGTCAGTCGGCCACATCTGCCAACATTTAATTTGAGGACCACAATGCAACTGTTCAGGAAATGCCGATGGTTTTTTTTGCCCCAACGTCCGACATCGCCGCGTCTCATTTGAAACGCGGGGGTGGGCGGGGGGGGGGGGTTTACTGCACCACCAGCGTGGTCGGAAATTGACGCCACGTTTAGAGAAGGATTATTCAGAGCTCAACAGGTCAGAGGGTCTCCCTGCTCTGAACGAGCGGCGTCAGGGCATCGTCCACCTTCATCGGTTGTCCTCCACAAGTGTCGGAAATTCCACGTTCCTACGGTGGGGTGGGCCAATGTCTCTCCGCCAGGCCGAGAATGTACGCGTGACCACATCGTGACTGGAATTTTAATTTGCCGATCTTCTGCTGGGGTAAGGTAAGAGAGCTCCGAGCACATTGCCACATGTCCAGATACAAAATTGCTGTTATTGCGACAACAGTATAATAGGGCTGGTATCTTTTCCCGGGCGATGAATTGGTCAGCTATCAAAGTCACTTTTTTTTCCTTAAAGCCCTGTTTTAAATCATGGGTGTCGGTCCAAATTCGAACCCAGGCCCATCAGCATTGCTGGCTCTGTTGCAGCTATTACCAGCCCTCTCGAGAAACACGGCTACCTCAGGTCGTGTAATTATTGAAATGTGGAGGGAATTAACGACCGCGCAGCATCCAGTGAGGCTGGGTTCTCAGCGTTGCTGTGGGAACGGAAACTCGATTCTGAATAGTTTTCAATGCGTTTTTCATCTTTTCAACAACAAAAAAGTCAGCGATTTCCTGGCTCAAATGAGCAATCAGGTGGTACTCACCTCCCGCTTACAGCATTCAGCCAGTAGTAGAAGTTCAACATTCCTATGGCGGAGGTGAGTCCATCCACAGGACGATCACTGCTGTGCGTTCCTGTAACGTGGCACTGCGGGCTGAGTCAACCCCCAAGCAGGATTCTAACTCGCAACCTTCCAGCTGCAAGCCGCTGGCTCTACCGCTGAGCCGCTTGGTGGGATGTTCTCTGTCTCTACGTGAACATCGTGATGGTGCCATCGGAGTCTGTCGCCAGACGGTTCGAGACATTTAAACTCGGAGCTCTTGCAGCGAGCAGCACTTGAGAAGAACGACAGGGAACTGCATTGTGGGGGGTGGAGGAGGGACACCAAAAAGGATCGGACGAGCCCCACGGTGGAACACTCAGTGATGACCGCTCAGCGCCCCGACACGGTATTGACCCTGCCCAGATTGACCCTGCCCAGATTGACCCCCCCCCCCAGATTGACACCGCCAGAGTCACCCCCCAGATTGACCCCCCCAGATTGACCCTCCCAAATTGACCCCCCAGATTGAATCTCCCAGATTGACCCCCCCCACCAGAGTGACCCCCCCAGATTGACCCCCCCAGATTGACCCCCCAAGATTGACCCCCCAGATTGACCCCCCAAGATTGACCCCCCCCCCAGATTGACCTTCTCCCCCCAACCCCCCCGAGCCACCCCGGCACCTCTGACCTTGGAACACAAAGAGATCCGATTCTGACCGCTGGTGCCGCTGCCGCTGTGCGTGGCCAAGGCGGAGGCCCTGCCTGGCGGGTGACCGGGCAGGGCCTCTTCCCGGGCGGTGGAATTCACTTCCGCCAGACGCCCGGTCCGCGCCCGCTCCCCTCGACCGATTCCAGTCGCGCCTTCAGACACTCCCTTCACGTATCTACTCTTCGCTTCCTTCACGTATATACACGTCACCTTCGCCCGTCGGGTGTTTATTTTACTCCGCGAGGTGTTCCTTTCACGAGCCTGCGAGCTTTTATTAGTTTCTCTTTTTTTATTGCGTTCGTTCAAAAATATTTTTTAATTCCTGTTTTTATCTACGTACAGCACTTTGCGACCTTCCGGGTGAAATGTGCTTCAATATTGTAAAAGGTAAAAAAATAACAATTATTATTATTACGAGGTAACAAATATAAATTCTTGTCATATATAGATTATAGGTTTGTTGAAATATAATTGTTTTCCTATATATATTCCAATCCATGACAGACAACTTGATGTGACCCAATTCACCCTTGTGAAAGAGACAAATGAATTGCGTGTCTCAACGGGGCCTGCAATCCAAAGTGCACCTAGCATGGCACAAGCGTCGTGGCGACGTCACCGCCACTTGGTTAAACAAGAGATACTGCTGCTGCCACTTACAAACCCGAAGCAAACTTGAATCACATCCTAACTAATGCCACTAATCGAGCCACCGGTGGCATCAGCTGCATGGAACTTGTCGCTATTGAAACGTTCCCGATTGCTCCGTGCTGAACCTCTTCGATCTGCCACCGCGGGCTGCTTATGGAGGAGGAGCAGGAGGAGCAGGGGTTACGAAGGGGAGAATAAATGTCACGCAACTCTGGCGCTTCGACTCGCAGCTGGAAAGTTGACAGACGTGAATCTGGGTCAGGGGTCAAGTCGGCTCCACCGTACTCTCTGTGGCTCGATACAAAAACGATCGCCGCCATGGGGCACGGGCAAGTCAACGGCGGTCATCCCACGCACGGACCTGCGCCTGTGTTGGCAACGTGGAATCTGCCACACCCGCTCAATGGAGGCGAGCGTAGTTCACTCCTCGCGTGAACGGCCACGGTCAATCTACTGCTAGATGAAGGCCTCCACGAGACGCAGTTCTGCGATGTAACAATCCGCACAGCAGCCGACCGTCTTTGTTTGGTGGTCAGCCAAAAGCCGCTGTTAGGATGACCGGAGTTTGCGTAAATGGTTTATGCTCCTTGAAGAGATCAGCAACTTGCGTGTGATGTTCACTCTGAACAACAAAAAAATGCATTTCCTGCAGAGCGGAGGTCCTTCCGCGTCCTTCAAGCACAACGTTGCAATGTTACGCTTCCGAACTTTAATATAACTTCGTTTGAACATTAACCTGGCCTCCTCTTGACACACTTTATGAACCAATCACGTGTTTTTGTTTTTTTACAGCTGCCGTCGAGGGTGAGCGGGGCCGGTGCTTAGCTGGGCAACAGGCTGGGCCCTGTACCGCGAAATGATTTGGCAGTTTAAAAAAACATCATTTATTCGCGATTTCCACATGGGAGGAAAGTGGGAAAACCTGAGAGCCCACTCATACGGATAGGTGAGCAGCCCACTCACACTAATCCCATCTGTAGGCCACTGTGAGTAGGCGAGCCTCTCACGCCACGATCTCTGCCCAGTTACAGGTGCGCCGATGGCTCGCGAAGGGCACCGCACCGGGGCGTGAATGCCGACCAAGGCGCCGCCGTACAAACCCACGCGATGTGGCCCATCGGCCACAAAAAAAAAAAACAGAGCGCCGCTGGCGAAGTTAGCGCCGATGCTTTTACTCTTCGTTCAGGTTATTTTTGTTACGGATACGCTCGACGTTCTTGCCATTGCATGCGCAGCAATTAACCTTGCGCTGGGGGACATTTGTCGCGATGTTACATTTCACTGCCAAATGCACTGCCAGTTTTATTTACTTTAGCGGAGTCGAATCGCCGCCAAGCGCCGCTTATTTCAAATCAGCGCCGAGTTGCCCTCGGCCCCCAACGCTGTCAATTATACGTTCCTATGGCGGGGGACCGGTCTCTTTAGGACAACCTCTGGTAACGTTCCTGAAAGTGGCACTCATATTTTATCAATCTGGAAAACACGACGAGTCATAAACCCTCCCGGACAAGAACGCCACGGTGGCGAGGAGATGTTAACTACCTCGCCTGGTATGCAGCAGGTTGTGGGTTCGAACCCGATCCCGATCCTGACGCCTGCTGTATATTTGGAATGTGCAAATCTCTCTCTCTCTCTCCGTGGTCGTGTGAATTTTTTCTCTACGTCCTCCCCTTTTTTCCTCAACGTTTATAATCAGCATCACACGTTCAGAGTATTTGGCTGCTATAAATGTTCACATGATGATAAGCGACTTAATTGAGATATCATTTGTGATAGCCAGGTCGCTTCTGAAAACGAGCCACACAGCTCAGTCGGGGCCTTACCTGGTCAAAAAAACAAATACACATTGTGAAATAGTTATAATAGGAACGAAATATGACAACACATCGAGACAAACAACTTTGAGAGTGAGAGAGATCGAGAGACGCCTCACCGTCAAGGTCTGCAGCCTCTCCTTCTGTAGCTGAGCCACCACATCCATCCTGGGGAAGAAGAAAAGGAAGACGCACGCTCAGAAACGGTGCCTCGCAGAGCTCGCAGAGTCCCCAGGCAGCCGCACCGATCCCTGGCTGCTGCTGCAGCGGCGGCGGCGGCGGTGGCGAGAAGGAGCGCAAAGCGCACGGCACCAGCCGACAACGCCAGCAGCGAACAACGCCACGGGGACAAATGACCGGGAGAGCGCGAACGAGCGAGCGAGCAAGCGAAGTGATTCAGGGTGGTGAGATTTGTGAACTCAACTTGGCAGTCGTTCCCTCCCACTTTCCCCTCCCTCAATTTTCCACTCACCCCCTCCCTATCTCCCTCCTACCCACCATACACTCCCCCCCCCCTCCCCAACACTCTGTCTCTCTGTGCCCACCCCCATCGTTTCGCCCGCTTTCCTTTTCCACTCTATATCACCACTCTGTATTGCCACTCTATGTCACCACTCTATATCACCACTCCGCTATCGTTTTCCCATTTTCCTCGCCGCGCGCGGTGGCTACCATTTTTCAGCGGCATCGCCCGATGAGATGGTGTGGGTTGTTGTTCTTTATGGGGTTTTTGTTGTTACTGTCGCTGGATACAGAGAGAAATTTGCATTTGTGAACCAGTTCTTACCTGGGTTCTGTTATTTCACATTCTCTAACCGTCTGCAAGGGAATATTCCAAAAATGCGCCGACTGCTGGCCTGGCGGAATTCTTGTTTTGCTAAATTTGATCTTTTAAATCTAGAGAGGTTTTTTTTTTTACTCACAAAATACAGACATTCGTGAAAATAACCCTCGCGGATGTTGGCTTTGTAGACTTTATTTCTCCACGATCTGACTGCGGTGAAATCCAGCAAATGTGCCCCACGTCCCGATGCTGAAGGCAGTTAAATTATTATTATCTGAGATTATGCGAAAGCCTGTTGGGAAAAAAAATGATTAAAACACAAACAGAACCTGCAGCCAAAACTCACGAGATATGAGCCTGTTAATTACATTTTTGTTTTTGCCTGTGGCCAGATCACAAGAATGCACCTGATCTCATCGGATCTCGGGGGCTAAGCAAAATAATTTGAGGCTAAGCAGAGTTGAGCCTGGACAGTGATTGGACGGGTGCCCACCGTGCATGTCGGTTTGCCACAGGTGATGGACAGGGCTGCGGCTAGACTGCAAGCAGGAGAAGGTAGTGCAGTGAAATCCATTGTTGTACTGCGCTTCTATGCTCCCATATCTACGGGCACCAACCTTCACCAACATTGCAAAGACATATCTGTGCGCTGGTGAAGTATGGTCAAATAAACCGCTACCAGCCACGTGGATTGACAAGACGGCTCGAGTAAAGAAGCATTTTCAAGCCGTGTGATGGTACGCCACGGTGGCTAGGGATATGTCAACTACGTCGCCTGGTATACAGGAGATCATGGGTTCGAACCGGATCCTGACGCCTGCTGTATATTTGGGAGTTTTCATGTTCTCCCTGTGGTCGCGTGGAGTTTTCTCCAGGTCCTCCGGTGTTTCTCTCCACGTTTAAAATAAACATGACGCGTTTATAATATTTGGCTGCTATAAATGTCCACGTGATAAGCCACTTCGTTGAGCTATCATTTTGTGGCCAGGTCGCTGCTGAAAAAATCTTACACAGCTCAGTGAGGCCTTACCTTGTAAAATAAAAAAAGTTAAATATGGAAAGGTGGAATATGTGGAATATATATCGTTTTATTAAAAAATATGTTTTTTTATTGTGCAGGAAAACCACTTAGTAGTCTCAAGGCTCATCGCCAGGAGGGGTCCTGCGCAATCTCTAGGTTTGTCTGCACACAGTGGCAACCTTGGAGAACAGCCATGCTCACAAGAAGATCACGCACATCAAAACAGCAGCATCACCACCCCCCACACTCTCCCACTGACGACACATCCATCCCTCCGACGTGCCCCACCCGGCAGACCCTCACTCAACACACACTCACCGATTGCCACCACCACCACCACCGCCGCCGCACGAGCCACCAACCTCTACAACCTCTACAACCACAACAACAACAACCGCCTTTGGCCACTGAGTGACGGTGACATCATCACGGCGCTTGTGCCACGCCAGGCGCAAGTGAAGTGTCGAAGGCTCCCCACTGCCAGAAGGTTACGGGACAGACCCAGGTGGCATGCGTTGACCGATTACTGGCAGATGCACCAGCTGCACTGCCTTCACTGTGCCAACAGCACACACCACAACCCCGCAGCATCCTGGTTTTTCCTCTCCCGCAGTAGTCATCAAGGCGTCAGCCCTCCACTGCAGTCTCTCCCACTCAGAACGTTAACCCCCCTGTGTCGCTCGTGGGCGTTACTACATTAAGGCGCCTTGAGACATTAATGGAAGGTGCCTTACAAGTAAATGTAAATTATTATTATTATTACGCTTTACCCCACGCGTTCCCCTACCCAGTCGGACTGTACGCTGTAACCTTCGTTTTCCTTGCTTTCTTTCAATGAAAATACTTCTCATTCAAAATAAATAAATTGTTAACACCCATACAGATAGATCGATTAGAACCTGCGGCTATCTCCAACCCTGGCACTGTGAATGTGTGTACGACAGGCGGAGAGCAGCAGGCTTGGCTTGTGCAGGCGCTACGCATGGGTGACGGCGGTGGTGGTGGTGGTGACGGCGGTGGTGGTGGTGGTGGTGACGGCGGCGGTGGTGGTGGTGGTGGTGGTGACGGCGGCGGCGGTGGTGGTGGTGGTGGCGGCGGCCCCGCACTGCGTTCACCAACAGCCGCCTATCGCTACGAAGTGACGGTGATGTCACCACGGCGCCCGTGCCAGGCCAGGTGCACTTTGAGGCCACGTGAAGTGTCGAAGGCTCGCTGGCAGGAGGAGGTCACGGGACAGGCCCAGCAGGTGCCATGGGTTGGCTGACAGATGACTGGCAGATGCAACAGCTGTACCCCCTGCGATGCCAACTTGACTCAAAGCTTTCGTGACTGCAGGAATTCATATTCGTTGAGTCTTTCGTTAGTTGTTATTTTCGGCTCTCTGATTTGACATTAGCAGGTTAAATTTCCCCACACTAACACAACTACCTCGCTCGCCGAGCTCAACGTTGCTGATCCGCGATCTGCCATAAACAGGCTAATCTCTCACATAAACATGCTAATCTCCAACATTGAAATGCTAATCTCTCACATCAACATGCTAATCTCTCACATTTACATGTCAATCTCTCACATTAACATGCTGATCTCTCGCTTTAACATGCAAATCTCTTATATTAACATGCTAATCTCTCACATTAACATGCTAATCTCTCACATTAACATGTTAATCTCTCACATTAACATGCTAATCTCTCACATTAACATGCTAATCTCTCACATTAACATAGCCACCTCCACGCCCTCGTCGTGGAGGCCGCTCTCCGATCTTACAGTAACATGCTAATTTCTGACATTAACATCACTAGCCATGCCCACTTCGTTTATGACCCTTGGGCCACGCCCATTTTAAACCTTTAAAACAGTCTGCCTCAGCAGCTTTCCCCCTTATTTTTCTTCCTGATGACGATCGCTTGCGTTGTGATCGAAACGTCATAGTTTTTGGTTATTTTTTTGTTATTTTATTTTAACCTATCTACGTGACTTTACTGAAAGACCCAAACAATATGCCAACTTGTTGAATTTTATCCGCCCAGCGCTCCGCTCGTTGTTGTGAGCGTCGCTCCTTTGCCCTCTGTTGTTGTTGGAGGGCGACTGCCTCCAACTGCCCAGTAGCATCCTTCACGAGCCTCCTCCACAGAGGCCGATCTTGACACCGCTGGTACCAGTCATCGGCAAGTCCACTCAGCTCCACATCCTCCCGTATCGCATCAGCTCCATCTCCTCTCCAGCCCGCGTCGTTCCCGTTTAGCCCCCCTCTATGCGACCATACAAAACCTGCTTGGGCATGCGGTGACTGGGCATGCAGGCTGCGTGACCCAGCCAATGCAGCCTTGCTCACACACGCACTCGTCCTCATTGGCCGGGGCCAGGTCATCTTCCACACCCTCACTCGAGAGCATCCCGCACACATTCATCGCGTGGCTCGCGATCCAACCGTGAATCGCGACTCCCAAGAATCGCCCGTAACATCTCCACGAAGCTTCCACCAACGGACTCGCTCGCCTCTCTCCCCCCTACCTTTCCTCCTCTAATGTCTCTTCCCCTCTCCTCCGTGTGCACTCCATTCCAGCTGCCTAGGCCCTCTGTCCAACCCCTGCAGGTCAGCCTCTACAATTCAGCCTCCCCGTGACTATTTAAAACATTTTATTTATTTTTACCAGGTAGCTCATTTTCAGAAGCGACGAGGCGACAAGTAATAGCCCGACGAGGTGGCTTATCACGTGGACATTTACGGCAGACAAATACTCTAACCGCGTCACTTTGAATCGAAATGTGCAGGGGAAACCCGGAGTACCCGGAGAAAAATCCACGAGGCCACGGGGAGAGAGAGACACGCAAACTCCAAATATACAGCAGTAGGCGTCAGGGTCGGGATCTAACCCACGACCTCCTGTACACCTTGAACTCCCTCCCTGCTTGACACCCACACTAACAACGATGCCCTCCTTCCGTCCCTCGCTGCCCTCTTCCAGTGGGGACTTTAGAAGTTCCCCTGCTCCTGCGCCCACAGCCACTGCACACGTGCAGGCCTTTGTGTCGATCCACTGCTGGATGAGGGCCTCCGCACGCCGATCGGCGAGGGAGTAGGGTACAACTGCAGCAGGCCTTTAGCAACCTGTCCAAGCTGCTATCCAGGCTCACGCCTACTCAGCTGCTGAGATCTAACAAATCCGGGTGCATTGTGGGCGATTAGGTCACGGCCGTGTCTTGCTCTCCTGTGTTTAGTCTCATCAGCACGGGCCTGTCGAGCTCTTTCGTCCTCTCACTCTTACCAAACCCATGCCCTCCTACGCCTCGATCGCTATCCTCGTGAGACAATCTTTTTTTTCCCACGGTGACCACAAAAAACAGCCCCACATC